TATATATATATATATATATATATATATATATATATTAAGCTTACTAATATTTTAAATAGCCGTTTGGAATAATAACTTTTGTTGGATTTGTGCTGGTCAGACGAAGTCATACACAACTGAGATTATTCAGTAAACTGCTCCTTTTTATCATCACTTCGTCGCTTCTGCTCTTCTCTGGCTTTGCTCAGTCAACTTCTCAGCTGATTGAAGACTGTTAATACAGTTTTAGGTACCAGACAAGACTTGCTGTTAAGGGGTTTTAGGTATTAGATTAGTCTGCTGACTAGTTCTGTTACCAGACACAACAGATATTTTCTGATAGGATCTGGATCTTAATTATCTGGCATGGAGGCATCCTTCAGATCATCAGGATCTTTGATGAACGTTTGTTTCCAGAAGCTTTACTTTCACTGTTCATGTTATATTATATATTATTATGGCAAAGTGGTGGCTAATTTCTATGAATTCATATAAACTTATTCATAACTCTCCGACCTGAGTTTTTATTATTATTATTACTAATAGTATTATGACCGGTCATCTCCTGACCAGACATGAGTCACAGACAGACTCGAAGTGTCCGGATGTTTGTGCTTCAAGCTGCCCAAAACAACATCTGTATGAAACACTGCGCACGCCCTTCACTGATGCTCATTTCATTAAATTCACTTCCAAACGGTTTCTGAAACACACAGAGGACGAGTTTAATCTTTTATCAACTTTTCCACTTAAAAGAGGCATTAAATGCACACGCGGCTTTGTTCCGTGGCTGATGCTCGCCTTGAGTTTGATCTGACCGGGGCAAAACAAACATTTCCTCGCCGCGTGTTTTAGTCTCCAAAGAAAGCCAAGAACCTCTGCTTGGTGTTCGCTTGGTTTTTACTGCGTCAAACTGTTTTACCCTCGAGTTTTGCCCTTCAATGTAGGAGAAAGAAACACACGCGCGAGGAGCTCGCAGAGGCGCGCGGACACGGAGCGGCGCGGGTTGAGTCTACAAGGTTCTCATGTGTTGTTTAAGAGCGCAGCGCTGCTCGAGCGACACTCATCGTTGAACTCAGCGTTTGAAGAGACTGTAGATCCGCTCGGGAAAATGGCAGAAACCGCTCCAGCCCCGGCTGCTGCCGCCCCGCCGGCCAAAGCGCCCAAGAAGAAGTCCGCCGCCAAAGCCAAGAAAGCAGGTCCAGGCGTCGGTGAGCTGATCGTCAAAGCCGTGTC